ATAACCAAAGGGTGAGACATTGTTTGTGGTGAAATTCGTTTGAGTCTTTTTCGTTTGAACTTGCAAAGTTTTAAATTTAGGTATGTGACAAATACAATTTTATGTATTGTTAGAACAAATAGACACTTCGTAACTACAACGATTAACTTTACTCGTCAAAACTACGTGAAACTTTGATGTGGACTTCAGATAATACATTTTCTTAGCATACAAAAAATTTCCTGGAATAAGTCTTATTTGCACAAAAGATAGATGATCAGAGCGAAACCAACATATAAAACTAGTCGAGGTCTATAATTCCATACAAATTATCATGCAAAGATCTCCAAATATTCATCAATAGTTATCACGAAACAGGTTTCATGCATGCAAACTTTCAAGCAAATTGAATGGACAACATGTATGTTGATAATAGAAATCATGACTTATTTGCTTCAAATAATTGTTGAATTACAAAACATAATGATTCCAAGAAGCAAAGGAGCTACAGTGCTACACTATACTTAAACTAAAAATAGAACTATTCTAAGAAAAGAAAAGAAAAAAGATGGCCAAGAAATCATATTCAGCAATCTCATACACAAGAATCATATGTGCAAGTAGTGAGTGTTTGTGAGAGTTTGTAAGCATGATTTTTCGACCTTTTGAACGAGTTTACCTCCTTTATTTATAGAAGGTAAGGAAAGGTAGTTACTTTGTGTTACTTCGACGTGGATATGCAACCGCTCTACTTTATGTGACGTGAGTAACCTCCTTAAACTATTTTTAACTTCTCAACCTCCTTATGACCTATCGAATAATTCTCTTTGTAGCCTTTAGAGATTGTTTCAAGAGGTGGTTACTATGCAGATCCCATGTGATATCTAACTTCCGTATTTCATGGGTAACTCCCTTTGGATCATTTTATAATTTTCTATTCGATAGTCGAAGTTTGTTTTTAAGGGTGTTTGTATTTGTAAGGGGATCAATTTAAGTAAATACCCTACATTTAATGATTTCTCCATTTTATGCCACATGTATATCCTACTTGAACAGTATGTAATTGCTCTCCCAGTTATCGAATCATTTCTTAGAACTATCTTCGAGCAGATGTATAAATTCCTTGCTAATAGACATATTTCGAAGTACTAGATGTTACTATGTCAGCAACATGTCTATTTTCTTTACCTTTCTTTGGGCGGACAAAGAATGGTGCAAAGCAACATCATATTTTTTGGCAATCTCATTTCAAGGCGATCATAATAAAAAAAATAAAGTTAATCAAAATAGTCCTCCAAATGGGACAGTGGCATATGAAAAAAAAAATATTCCTACAATAAAAATAGTGATGCCTTAAGAAAATATATTTTAATTAGGAACATTTTAATTTAGCCTAAAAATAATTAATATATAAGCACTATAAATTAAATTTTTATATAAAAAATAAATAATTATTTTAAATTAAATTTTATAAATAAAAATAAAGATAATACATTACTTAAATAGAATCAAATAATATAAATATTTATTTCTTTATTATATACATTAATTTATAAATATTATATAATCAACCTTTTCAATTCTTATAAAATAAAGATGATAACAACTTTAAAATATATATATATATATATATATAATCAAATACTTATGCATCATACGGATAGCATCCTTTTGGTATAAACAATTTAAAGGTAGATTTATTGGAATCTTAAACTTTTGAGGAAATATTCTTAATTGACGTTAGAACGTGGTTAAACCAAAATTGAAATAGAAGTTTATTATAATTGGGCAAGTGGACTGAGAAGTGGAATGGTGTGCATCATGCTTTTTGAAATTCCAATAAAAAAACCGCCGCCTGCAGTCTAGAATCTTGTGTCAAGAACCAACCAAAAAAAGAAAACATTCACTGCTGCTCGTGGGCGGCTACTATTGGGTGCACCGGTTCACACTAACTCACTCGGTCCAAAAATATTTGAGTCTTATTATGTTTCTGTATTGGTAGGAAAATATATACTTGCTCCAACTTTTAAAATTTTTAAACATTCAAATTAAAGAAATATTTTAAATAAAATTGTTGACAAGTGTAAAATGTTTATCAATTTGGAAGATGATTCGGATGAATTGAATGGTCAGGAAGATACAGCAAAACTCCTCCTTTTAAATGAAAAAAGAACATTTAATTTAAATAATAAACAAAATCAGAAAAACTATCATCATACAATTACCGAAATCTCCAGAATAGTAACATAAATCATTTTTTATATATTAAATATAAATTTGTATTTTACATAAAAATATTTTTAAGAATTTTTCTTTAATACAAGGATTTATAAGTTTTTTTTTATTTTTTATCTAATTCAATTTTTTCATTAAAATTATTTATAAATTAAATATTAATATTTTAAAATAAAATATTAATAAAAAATATGTGATAATTAAAATTTATTTATCATAAATTTAAAATATAATTTATTTATTTTAAAATATTTATGAATATTATTTTAGATAAAATTTATATATTTACACATTATATTTATTTATAAATATAACTTATCATAAACTTTAATCTATAATTGTTGGAGAAAATGATACACACTAAAAGGGGAGTTGAATAGTTTATATCAAAAACTCATGCTTTAGGAGTGAAGTAGTAATCAGACAAAACGTTGGAAAGTGATGTAGTAATCAGACAAAACGTTGGAAAGTGATCCGATGAAGTAGTGGAAAGCAACAAATGAAAATGCACAAGTATTTTTATATTGATTCATCTCAAACCTAGAGACTATGTCCAGTTCTCAATCCAACCAAATAGAGTTTCACTATCTTGTACAAAATACAAATATTCTTTCACAAGTCATCCCAAGTATTCTTTCAACAAGTCTCTCCAAGTTCAAAATTCAAGTATTCTTTCAACAAGCCTCTTCAGGCTCAAACCCAAGTATTCTTTCCACAAGTCTTTCCAAGCTCAACATTAAGTATTCTTTCAACAAGCCTTTCTAGGCTCATCACCAAGTATTATTTTCACAAGCCTCTCCGGCCTTAATGCCCAAGTATTCTTTTAACAAGATTCCTCAAGCTCAACACTAAGTATTCTTTCAACAAGTTTCTCCAGGCTCAACACCAAGTATTTTTTCAACAAGCATCTCTAGACTCAACCCTTACAAATACAATTGATAAGAGTTACAAGAATAACTCTGTCTTTTCTAGACGTGATGCTATACAAATTAAGCACAAGTAGTCTACAAAGAACTTTATACAAGATTTTCTATGAACATCTTCTTTGTAGATCTTCAGCTTTGTATTTCTTATTGCGTGAGTTTGCTCTGTGTATGATGCTTTTTATTTTCAGCACTTTCTTTTGTTTTGCTTGCACACTCTATCATTTATGTTACATTCATTCTTACTCACATTGTGCATTCTCTCTTTTTTGTTCTTTGAAGGCTTAACCCTTATATAATAGTTTTAGTGAAGATGACCGTTGCAACAATGTTCAAATTTAAATGCTTTGTTTTTCTTCTTGGTTGATCATAGGGATTACCGTTGATGCATTTAATGTAAGCATTAAATGCTGATCAGAGATGTGTGCATCCCCTATCTGATATAGGCAACTACTTATCATTTTTTTTCTTCTATTTTGAGTGTGGCAGAGTGGTGTCAGTGTAGAGTAATTGAGGTTGGAGTAGAACAGTCCTTTTTAGTTCCTTTTCCTTGAAATCTGAGATCTTGCTCTTTTTATCCTGATACAACGATTTGACATTCCTTTTTTGAAAGCTTTCATTTAATCTGTTAAGGAATAATGTATTAGTGTTTCTAAAAGAATAATTTGACTTTTTAACAAGAAATAAATGTAACATTAATCCTTATCATATACTTTGTCTGGTGTAATTCGTCCTATAGACGAAATATGACATCTGCTTCGTCTGAAATAGTCTCTATAAGAGAAACTCATGACTTCTCATTGTTGTCATAAAAAGGTATTTTATAAAACTCTAATTCGTTTAAAAAATTGTTTGTTATTATGAAAACTTATAACACCTCAAGGGATTTAAGATTATCTTTTAATTCTTCAAACTTCCTTTTGATCTAACAATAATATATATAAAAACAATAGTCTAATTTTATGTACACAATTTTTTAAACAATTTTATTTTTAAATAATAAAAAAATATTATTAAAATATAATTACTTTTACAAAGACAAAACTCAAACTTAAGACTTTATAATTTCAGGTCCAATCACAACACTAATTCATTTAACAAACATTAATAATTTTTAAACATTTTTATTGAATAAAATATAGAGAAATTCTATCATACCCACATAATTCAATGAATTTTAAAATTGTCAAATTTTAAATTATAATAATTAATTTATTATTTTTTTAATTATGTTATAATGTTACACTTGTATTAAATAGTTAGCTAGAAACATTGTGAGTATTTAAAATTGGTGAACAAATAAAATAGAAATTAAAATTAGACATATGATCTTTTGTTTGATCAAATTAGTAATTAATATAAACATTTTTTTCATTTCACGTTTTATAAATTTTAAAATGATATTTCTACACTTTTATTAAATAACTAATATGAGAATAGAACGTAATTAAAATGTGAAAAGAAAAATTATATAAATATAAAACATATAACTTAATAAAAAAAGAGATTATGCTAAAGTACCTTAACTTATAAAAGTACCATAATAACACCCTCAAAAGACAAAATATCTTCACAAGTTACCCTAAAATATATAATAAACATGTATCTCATGTTATAAAATACTATTAAAATTTGTATTACCACCGGCACTCGTCAATGCTACAAGTATCTAACAACGTGCAGCTGCTTGTCTAGTGTAGATTTGGTAGAGTAAAACTCAAAATATCTTCACATGTTTCCCTAAAATATATAATAAACATGCACCTCGTGTTACAGAATACTATTAAAATTCGTATTACCACCGGCACTCGTCAATGATAGAGTAGACTTGGTAGAGTAAAAACACCGTCAAGTTACCGACACTCTCTCTCTCTCTCTCTGTTCCTCATGGCAGAACAATCACCAACCCTGAAACTCCACCAAGTCCACCACGTATCTCCGCCGCCAGAAACCCCTCCAACCTCCCTCCCCTTCACCTTCTTCGACGTCCTTTGGCTAAGGTTCCCCCCCGTCGAGCGTCTCTTCTTCTACCCTCTCTCCAACACTTCATTCTTCGACACAGTTCTCCCAAACCTCAAAGCCTCTCTTTACCT